TTACTGATAACAGTCGTAGACGATGAGGCTTCCACGTTTTTCGTGGTGGTCTAGCCTCAATTGATTCATTATTTCAATCAGTGAACTTTCTGAAATCTCCACAAAACCCCTCTTGATAATATTCATATTCCTCTTATTATAAGCTTTATTTTGACCCATAGACTATTTTTATACGATTTACCGTTCTTGAGTTATGCCTAATCTATTAATTACAGTCTCCCATATTCATAAACAAATTTGGCTAAATCTTGTATAATTGTTGTTTCCTGTTTTATGATACGATTTGGTCTGTTTGGCTGATGTATGCTTGAAATACATAATTCATATGACGAAGGCTGAGATTAGTGTTCTGAGTTTAACAACCAGGAAGAAGGACTGGTAACAACTCTAGACTACTCGTACGTGTTATATGCATCAATGGTCCAGTCGATAAATCACTGTTCTCTAATTGGTGATATCATTATGTTATATTATTGATAGGGACAGTATAATTAAACTGTCTCCCTTTTTTTAATAAAATATTGTAATTCATGTAAACAAAAGAAATAACTATTCATTACAATAGAATTAATGTCATTTCCTTTAATTATTATTTCTTTGATGTATATAATTGTAACGGTACATACACATATACCAATTAAGTTTTTATCCCATTTCAAATAAAACAACATCGATCAAAGTCATCAATATACAATCAACAAATGAGTTTCAATGTAATAAACCTGAGTGTGAAAATCAGTAATATTCGTACTATTATTATCATCATCGTCACCACCACCACCACTATAATCAGCAGTATTAATAATAGTAATAATAATAATAGTAATAGTAGTAGTCGTGATGGTAACAATAATAATAATAATAAGAGTACAAGGAGAAGGATTATTTACAATGAACTAATCATAATGTGACTTCGTAAAATGTTTTTTTTCATTTTTACTAATTATTTTATTCAATTGTTGTTTATTGTAATCTTTACTTAGTTACCGTAAATATTGTTTTAATCAAACTTTGAATATAGAATGATGAATGAGTTTTTCTGATTCTTAAATAGAATGTATACATAGATACATAAAAATTGCAAAATGAAAGATTAGAATTTGGAAATGTACTTTATGTGATTATAATAGTAATGATTATGATTAACGGTGGGAGTGAATAGAATCAATTATTCGAGTTTACCGCTTTATTTATTTAAACATATAAATATTGATACAAAGAGGCACCAAACAAATATGCGACAAATAAATCATTCGGTTTGTGTGTGTGTGTGTGAGCTATGATATTGCCCGGGTGCCCAAACCAAAATAGTTGGTTTTCTTAGGGGGCCACACACCGAGCCTTTGACCTAATGGTTTTATCCACAAGTCAATGGGGCATCATAAGAAGATGGAGTCCCATGGTAGCCGATGACCAACGATTGTTTCATACACCATATGTTTCCTTGGGATTCTGGAACCCATTTGCACCACTGCTGTGAGATCAAGGTTTTCCAACTCCCCTAGTTGGACCATCCATATCCACCGACCCGGTTAAAGCATTGGATGTTCGGTTTTTGTCCTCTCAACTTCGTAAACAACAACCCCAGTGCGACAAGGCAGTTAGTAGAACTTCCCTTGCAGAGGCTATATACACGTGGCCATATGACAACATTTCGAGAGGAGAAGATGATTCTCTCCACCCTCGGCCATACCAGGGCATTTGGGGTCTTACCGGCATAATGATTATATTAAGAATAAATGGTTACGTCTACTTTGTTCTTAAGTTAAGTTTCAATGCCTGATTCATTCATTTAATTGAAAATCATGTTTAATTTATTGGTTTAGTTTCTAGAAAACAGGTAGATTTATATTTAAACTGTTATCCAATGTGTAGGATATGCATTTATACGATGTTATTAGTCATATGTCTAAGACGACAGTAATTAATGTATTTAAATGTAAATATTCATGTACTGTGTTAAGATCGAATTCTAGTATTCAAGTGAACGGGTTTATGGTTTATTCTGTTGGATTTGTAATGAACAATAATATTGTAATCAGTATAGGGTTGTGGAAATTGTTAAGTTATCAATGAGATCAGTCAATATTAGACCACCACTGAAAACCCAGAAGTATTAGATGTTCTAGTATGGAACTCCTCAGTAGTGCTCATCCACCATAGCTCAACTGGAGTCGAAACCAGAACCTTTAGTCTCGCTCGCAAAGACTTAACCAATTCACGATATGGTGCAACTACCGTCCATTGTTTAACATTGATTGATACATGATCTCAACCAAATTTCGACAATCTACACAATCTTATAATGATAATTACTATGTGCTCACCAGTGACTAGCTTTGAGAGGTAATTATCGGACTTCTAATGAGAAGCTATGACAGGTGTAGCTAATCCGTGTGTGGTATGAAGCAGTAACTCACTGAAGACAATATAAGATGGTCGCACACCATTGGTTGCCAGCTCAATGATCTAGGGGTTAAGCGTTCGCACGCGTGACCAAAGGTTCAAGGTTCAACTTCAGTTGTAGCATCATGGATATAGACTGCTGAAGAGTCCCATACCAAGACGAAACGGCCGTCTAGTACATCCAAACTTTCAATGGTGATCTAATACTGATTGATTCACAATCTAAATCAAAATAATGTCGTATATATATAAATTATTGTAAAATTTAATAAGATTAGAAAATTTAATTGTCCTAAGACTATTAACAACCAAAGTGTGAGTATATTTGAATTTGTATCTACTTAAAATAAAATGGAACTTAAAACCTTGTTGGGATATTCAGGAAAATATCCCAGAAATTATCCTATTAAGTCTAATGCTATTCTTGGACTTGGACATGGTATGATTTTCTTATTGGTCAGTACTTATTTCACGTGTTATTTTCCTACTGGTCAATATTGTACAATGCTATTTTCTATTTTATGGTACGTTGTGGTCTGATTGACTGGTATATAAACAAAGTATGTTTGAAATATAATGATTCATATATCCGAGGCTGTGACTTGCGTTCTGAACCCAACTGCTGGGCTAGATAGGGAAGCGGGGCCAATTAGAACCCTAGGTCGTTCTACGTGTTTGCGCGTCTTTGGTCCGATCGATAATTCGCTTTCCTCTAATCTGCTGCCGTCTCACAGATATAACAAACCTACAAATCAAATTCAGGAGTATTATTAACTCATATAGATAGATTTAGTTTAAAATTAAACTAGGTCTCATAAAATTATTTATCTATATGGCCCCAACCCATTAACGATGTGATAGATATACATATAAGTAAATTATGTATTCATTTGATATAAATTCTTTTTGAATTAATGGTATTTATTCTAGAATTGGACGCAATAAAATTGATGACTGAGTACGGTGAAATGAGGATTAATGATAATCCGGCTAAATTTATTAATGGTGTGTTAATAATGTAGTGAAACATCAGGAAAATTATTTGTCGTAAACTTGTTGGGAATGCAATGAACAAAAATTAATTTCGATGTATGTTCTACTTTATTTATTTCCAAAAATAAATGGTAGTCCATTCTGCGCAGTGTTGTGGTTTGGTTAGTGTTAGACATCAACACCAACGAACGCTGAATCGATGATTTGGAGGTTGCGTTCGCGTTCAGGGTCGTAGACGCTCACTAGGGCAAAACGACTGTGCAGTGTTCTCAAGTTTTCAATGGTGGTTCAACATAGATCGGTTCATGATTTCCATTAAATACAATTTTTGTAGTGACTTTGAAAAGGACGAAGAAGCCTTTAGATGCTCTAAAGATGCTGAAGAGATTTCGTCTAACCAGAACCCATGAGAACCTTCTAGAATACTAACGTGGCATGGTGTGATCAGACAACTGTATGAAATTTCTATTTGCGGACTGGCTGAATTATAATGATGTTGTAGCTGATACGAAAAACTATAACTACCCTTGTTTTTCTGCACACTTTTGATCCCTACCAAATAATCGCTTACTTTGCTCTATCCATCTTTTGATTTGCGAATGTGGGGTTCTATATATTTGAGTGCCAATAATTGTATATCGTATTCTGTCCCACTCAAGTAAAAGACCTAACAGCAACAATCTCTATTATTTCATTCTGTAATGATATTATCAAATTGATAGTCACATAACGCTTTCAATAATCTTGTATTTCTTGGACATTAATCAGCAGATTTTTCATCGAAATCGCTCACACTGAAGTCAGTGGTTAAAAATGTGTTTATTATGTTGAGATTTAAGGTGGTGGTTGAATGTAGACTACAGGAAACCGAATATATGAGTAGCAGTATCTTTGACTATAAAGCTGAGTGACACGTGACGGAATCAACGAGGGAGCATCAGTTCCATTTAGATTACAGGTACACTTTGCTGACGAGCGCGAAATAACGCGAAACTCAGGTTCAGGATTTCTTATCGACTACTTATAGCCAACTCCTTACATCTCAACACAATCCAAGAGATGTTGATTTACTTGAACACTAGTTGTTGCATCACAACTTATACGATAGAATTCTATTAGCACTAAGATCATAAATTGGATACTACTTAGTGATCACTCATTTATCAGATAAACAATCAACGAAAAGTTGTTTACATTAATTATCGTTAAGGTATGGTAAACAATAATAATCTCAGTTTCATCTGGATTTAAACTATAGAAATTCTGGCAATCCATCAACCCAAATGATAATCTACCATACAGGATGCGCACTGCTGAAGAGTCCCATACTAGAAGAAAACGGCCATCTAGTACTTACAAGTTTTCAATGGTAATCTAACATTGATCCATTCATTCAAATTATTTAGTAAATTTATCGATTCGGTATAATTTTTATCGATTATTTCATTCCCTTATTTCTTTTCCTTTTTAAAAAAAAATAATAATTCACTTCCATCCATTTATCATTATCACAACTATGAATGTTAATATATGTAAACGAGAGATAAACCCTCATTATTACAATCCCATTCAACAATAGTTGAATAATAATAATAATAATATTAGTGGTAGTAATATGCTCATCATTTATTCATATTTAATTAGAAAAGTGGTGTTTAACAAGACCAAACGAAGAGACATGGGATAATAGTAGTACTAGTAGTAGTAATAGTATTAATGGGAAAGTTTGATATTCTTTGGAAATAAACCAAACGAAAAATTATATAACATACAGCATTAAACAAAAACAAAAAGATGAGTAGAATATAGAAAATAGAACAACATCTATAGTAATAATGATAGAAAAATGCAGAACAAAAGAAAGAAATATCAAATTGTTCATTTCTATCTTTAATGTGTTGAATTATTGATAAAAAGGAAAAAAAAGAGAGAAAAAATATCATAGAGAAAGTTAGCCATGGAAAAGAAAGTGTACAATGTCGGTAAGAATGACAATGTTGTTACCGTCATCATCGTCGTCGTCATTGTCGTCAAGATATGAGTTAAAATTAATTAATTATATTAATATGAACACTAGAACACAGATCCAATATAACTTTTGGTTACATAATAGAATAAAATAGTGATATTGAGTTTATTTTGTGCTAAATAACAAGCACATACACACACGTGTACACACAATTGTCTGGAGAGAGAGAGAGAGAGAGAGAGAGAGAGAGAGAGAGGAACCCGCACACAAAAAAGGACAAATAACTCATCTATTAATACAAAATAAATAGATAGATCTATCATTTAGTAAGTTAACACCAAAATGAAAGTTTAATTATTCATGTCATGATCATTTATAATAAATAATGAATAATATATTTAATGTATTAGAAGGGTGCAATAGTACCGGTGAAATAATATTGGAAGAATGTTTAAAAAAAAGGAACAAAACTGGTATAAAGAAGAACCAAATAAAACAAAGTTACATAATGAGGGAGGAAATGATTTATTCACTTTCATAATAATAATAATAATAATCAAGATAATCATTTTGGTATTTATTTATTTAAGAGGAACCAAAAAGGAAAAAAAAAACCCCAGTATTCTACAAGTCATATGTGAATATGAAATACTTTTTCATTCATGGTAATAATGACGTAATAAATAAACAAATATAAATATATATATATCACAGTATGAACAATGTAAAACTTACTCTATTCCCCTCGTTGTTACCAAGGTGATAACTGTACATAATAATTTTTATAATATATATTTGTTGTATTATATTAAATAAAATGATTATAATTCATAAAAGATAAATTCTTTATGATTATAATAATTTAATATAATGAAGTTGGTTGTAAATCCCATGAAATTTCATCAAATGAATCATGACGATCTGTAAGTAATTGACTTTCAGATTTTTGTCTTATAAGATGATGATATTTTAATGAATCTGATATTGTACTCATCATCATTAATTTCATCATATTATTTGATGTATAATTTGTACGTGATAATGGAACACTATTTGGATAATGTTGTTGTTGTTGTTGTTGTTGTTGTTGTTTTGATAAATGAATTGAAGGAAATTGTTGTTGTTGTTGTTGTTGTTGTGTTAATATTGATTTATTTATTGATTCATCACAAAATGAAAAAAATATATCTGGATCACTTGGAGAACGAAATATAGTTTGATTACGATTTGTATTACTGGAACTATTCATAGTTGGATAAGATAATTTTCGATTTGTATCTGTAAAATGTATGATAATAATAATAATAATAAAAACAATTAGGTCGTTAATTTATTTACCTTTAATTACTGATGAAAAATAAAATGGAAATGACATGGGATTAAACTTTGTTTGTCATTTAGTTAATATTTTCCCAATACATTATGTAGTCGGACATTTTTCATTTCGATTATACCATGTTGTCGAGGTAGTTGAATCGTATAGTTTACGTCGTAGATTGATCTCAGTATGACGACCATTGGACAGCTTTTTAGTCCTGTTTTAGAGTTTCAGAGCAGTGTATACCAAGGACTTTAATAAATGACTAACCTTTGACTACTATATCATTAAAGTGCCTATCCGGGAACCTGAATGCCTTAAGTTTATATCCTTGTTGTTTCGTAGGTTTTTACTGTCAAAGAGATCTGTACTAAGCTAGAACAACTGTCCAGTGATCTTTGGTTCTCAATCATTGTTTAACTAAAATCAGACCATGATGTAAGTCATGATAATCATATACCAGAAGACAATGGTGTATGTGTCACTTAATTTCGTAGATTAGTTGAACTTAGACATTAACACTGTTGGATGCCGACTCAGTGGTCTGGTGGTTAAGCGTTCACGCGCGAGACTGATAGATCCTCGGTTCGAACCACGAGAGGTGGGATCGTCGATGTGCACTGCTAAGAAGTTTTACTATAGAACGAAGCGGCCGTCCAATGCTTCCAGGTTTTTCATGGTGGTCTAGCTTCAATCGACTCACGATCTTGTAGTGAAATACTTTTATGAAGAGAACGCGATTGGTATAATGGAAACAATAATTATTATAACCAATAGTGTCAGTGAATTTTTTTGTATCCTGAGCCCATCGCCCGTTTAGTACTGTTGACTTCAGTTAATTTTGGCGAAAGCTGGCCCGATCACCCACGTTCTTGTCAGCGCTTTCCGGTCCGCACGCCTAGGAACGCGATCCTGAGATACTGGATACAAACCACTCTTGTGTGGTACGCTAACTCGAGCAACAAATACAGCACGTTTCTCCTGGTACCGTTCCACGTAAAAGAACTTCGGTGACAACTTAAGGATCAACGATCGCTTCCTATTGGTCAACACTTTCGTCCTACAGTCCCAAGAACGAAATCTCTACGTATCCAAAGCGTAATCCCTTTCTAACAGGGGGCTCCTGTAGTGACCTACTTTTCTGAAGCGGACACGGTATAATGGAAACAATTATTATCATAACCAATTGTATCAGTGATTGTTTTACTGTACCTGTTTATTTAACTGTACTAAAACCTTACCTTCTTCCATTAACTGTAACCTTGCACGCATTCGCGTACGCTACGTAGACCCGCTTGTACTCTTTGGCACAATCTCCGTATTATTTCGATACCACGAGATTGCCAACAAATATATCCTATTAAGGTCGTCAATTGCCTTTTGGTTTTTGGTCTACGAATGGATCAAACCTAATATCTAGTACGTAGTCTTCCTGTCGTGGTAATCATAGCCAATCGCGACTCGACGCCTACTACAATCTTAACCACTGAAATTACCTTGATATTCAAGAAAATCCTTCTGATATATTAGATTTATCGTAATTGCAGTGTAGATTTCAGAACATTTTACGTACTTAAACAAAAGACTGATCTAAATACACTGAATGTATAAATATTGATTGATTCATTTTGGATGAAACTATCTCTGGTTTTTTTTTTGGTAAAGGGGCAAATAAATAAAGTATGAATGAGCAAACTACGACAAATCTATCGAGTTTTCATATACAACCTATGAGGTCATTAAGTAATATGTGAATAAATATAGTTTGTAGTTAGATAATTTCAAACTTGTTTCAGGCAACATGTTTAGTTTAGAAAATGTTTGTTTCATACCACAGATAGAATCTCATTGGTTAGATTATATTCTGTTTAGATAAATAATTGTATACTTAACAACCTCAGTCAGTGTTGGATTAACGTGGTTAATCTTGTAAACCAAGCCTTATCTATCATACATATGATTCTATCGTATTGTACTGTATTTGAAACCTTCATGTTTTATTCTATTCAATTTGTAATTGAATCATAATTAAATTGTATGATTGAATCAACATATTCTCTACTGCTTCTGGATTACTGAGTAGTGACTAATTAGAAATACATGTCTTACAGGAAGTAAGTCGAGTGTTAAGAAGTTGAGACTATGAAACTAGATGATGTGAACTTGAATCCACAAGGAACCAGAAGTTCTCTCAAGGCTACATACTTTGTTATGACGAATGGAAAATAGCATGTAATCTAAGTCAAGCAAAGTTCCCTTCCGACTACCATCAACTATTTAACCTCTAAATGAAGTGCATACAACATGAAGTCGCTTAAACTAGTAGTCATATTGCGATTTGATCAATAGAATTAGATCAACACTGAAAAACTAAACAAACCTGACATCATTAAATCGCGAACTGATTTTAGCTAGACTACCATTAAAAGCATAAAAACATTAAATGATTTGTTCTTCCTAGTGTAGGGCTTATCAGCAGCGTAGATCCATGAACCCGTATCCAGTCAATAAAATGTCATTCATAACCGTTTAATGATAGCAGTTATAATAAATGTCTTTTATATCACTAAATACATAAATGAAGCTTAAAAATACAAATACCAGTTTCTACACTTTTATCTATGTGTCATATCCTATTCAATCGAGTAAAACATTTTAATAGTCACTATTGCTTGTCACAGATTCTGCTAGATTGATTAAAAATACTTCAAAATTATAGTGTCCTTATAAAATGTGAAAATCATACACTGAATACTTCATTTGCACATCTTCCATCAATTATCTCTTATGTAAACTTCATCATCCTTTCATTTCCGTTGTTATTACAATTACTCTCTATTTACATTTCTGTTCTATTCAATTCAATCTTTTTAACCTTTTGATGTTAGGCATTCTACTTCTGATTGTTGATACATACTACTTATGTCGACAGATATAAGTAGCATAAGCCACAATGGTATCGTTTCTTGTATTATAATGTAATGAAAGATTAGCCTACTACCTACCTACCTACCTAGTGATTAGCATTATATGAAATATTAATATACACTGGAAAGCAAACATTACAAAGTACTTATAAAGCAATATTACTTTTTATGTGATACAAATAATTGACAAAACTATGCTTCAAGTTAATGGTATAATAAAAAAAGACTGAAATATATTATGAATATAATGTAATGTATTGTAAGATTACGTAAATAGTATTATAGGAGTGTATAGCGAAGATATATATGACCATAATTAGGTATTTTGATTGAAATATTTACCAAACTATAAAAGAAATGATTATCAGCACTTAGTAACTAAATGGATAACACGATGGCGTTTGTAGTGAATGGTACTGGGTTCAAGTCCCAAAAAGAACATCAACAAGTTTGAGATGTAAGTATATCCAGTTGACAAGTTTCAAATAGGATGAAATGAGCGTCTAACTTAATTCCACTGCTAGTCACTATTTCATATTTACTTAGAAATGATTCTATTATTTTTAAAGGATGCTAATTTAATTTATATTGTTTAATATTTGTCAAATTACATAATCATTCAATCATTTAATGATTAAACAATTTCTTCTATGATCATTGTCATTTAGTTTGTAGAGTTTACTAATGTGTCATTTAAACTTAAAGTATTTACTCATTTATTTTCAATACTGGTGATATATACCTATATATATATATATATATATATATATATATATATATATATGTCATGTATTATATATTACATTACTTCATAGATTTACACTGACAATTACTACAGATATAACATTATTGTCAAAGAATTACAAGTGATCTGCTGACAGATGATGTAATAATACAGTACATTCAATATTCATCAGTTTAATTGATTGAAGTTAAAGATTAATATTATTGGTTGTTAAATCAGTGGTCTAATGATTAAGATTTTGTGTGTTAAATCTAAGGTACTGGGTACAACTCCTGTATGCGTAGTTATAAATGGGTACTTTTGAAAAGTTCCATAATAGAACAAAATGGCTATTCAATGCTTCCAGATTTTCAATGATGATCTAACAAAGATAGGTTTATGATTTCAATGTAATTTTATAATATTGCATATCTATGTTTATTTAGTAAATTATTAACTACTTGATGTTAAGTACTAGTCATTTAATGTATTACCAATCTGACTGTTAATCGATATGATTCGTATACAACTTAGTGTATTCAGTTATTCATGTTGACATATTTGTGTTCTCATTTGCATCATCCAATTCCTGATTGTATTACTGAAACATCAAGATTTATTAACATTTGCAACAGTGATGATATGTATGTCTAAAAATTTCAATAAGTCTTCATATGGATCATTTGTTACTTGAGATTATGGGAACTAGAATAGTTCTCGATTTCAAGTATCTACGAGTATGATAGGTAGTACAACAATAAGTAATTATAACTTTAGGCGATTTGTATTTAATAAGTAGACTTAAAACAAAGTGAATTTATTGTTAATATTGTATTGTGAAGAATGCTGAATTTCATAAAAATCATGAACCAAACAGTGTTAAACCAATAATGAAAACTTGAAAGCACTCGACGGTCGGTTTGTGATGATATGGAACACATGAGAAGTGCCTATCCATGACTACACAGAGAAGAATCGAATCCAGGACCTTTATTTGATTCTACACACATCTTTATTCCTATTTTGTTTAAATTTGTCAAACGATCAAATTGAATGATCTTTTGAAAAAACGCTTTCTTAAAACACTAATCATTATGTCATAAAATATCAAGCGAATTGATAAGAAAGCGTTTAAAAATCGACTGTTTCCCTTCATCATTTTTTAAAATTGTTCCGGTCAACTAAATTTCCACTTTCCTAGAGGAAAGTACGTTGGCTTACCAATTCACATATAGAGTCATCTAATCAGCATATTTTAACGTTGAAACGCAAACTCCGTTCAACGAATGTTTGAAAACCGTTTCGAAATTAACTAACTTACTTGTTACATTCAATAAATTATTCGTCATAGACTAGAATACAGTATATTAATCTAAATAAATCAAAGTTTCTGAAAAGAAGCGATCAGTGTTGATCTTAAGATTTAAATTAGAATGTTAGGTTTCAGTATTAGATTGAACTATCAGTATTTGGTAGCGTGACTTTTATATTACTTCAACCATTACTATAAATAATGATTTAAGTAAAATTTTCTCAACTATTTTTAGCGTTACACAGTAACTAAGCAGTGTAAAATGTTATTCAGCTGATTTTATTCTGTCATTTAAACTAGAAGGTTAATTGAAATATCAGAATACTATTTCTTGCTGTACAGACAGTAGAAATAACATTTATAAAAATAACGAAAGATATAAGTTATGCTTAATGTTTGCATGTTTGATGCCAAATTCTAAATGTTTTTTAGAAATGTCCTAAATTTGTGCGTTGGAAGGAAGACAAAAGGCGATAAGTTTGGAAGGAAGTTTCACTTCCAAGGTTAGTTGAAGTATTCTCGAAGCTTCTGGGAATATGTTTAAATTAATAACACTATCAGTGATCATCGAATTGAGATATGACATGAACTTTCTGGATGGTTTCTATTGTATACTGTTTGGACGAAATATTCACAACCATTATTCCAGTTTTTGAAGATGTTTAAGAGAAACTTTCTGAAACTCTCAATAAGCGGTCAAAATTTCCGAAATAGTGGAATGAAAAACTGTAGCCAGAAATTTGTAAGTAGCTACTTTTATTGTTGTATAAAGACTAACGGAAATACTAGGATTAACACATATTAAGGAAAGGAACGAAAGACAAGATTTATTTTACATTTGACAGTTTGTCATTAGCTTAAGCTGGATAAATATTATGATAATGAGGCGATCAGATAGTATATCTAGAAATCTTACAAAACGTTTAAGGCTAGATCTAGTTCGACAGTTACGACAAAATAAAAAAAGAATAGTAATCAACTGATCACTGAGTATTGATCAATGTTATGTTTGTCTAGTATTTGAGTGATGACCGAATTCTACCGACCAGGTTACCATATGGCTTATGAATTAAGTGGCCAGACATTGCATTCACTAGGTTCTGGTATTCAGTAGTTCAAGATTGTTTTGTGGTAGTTTTGTGTTACTTGGTAGTGTTCAACAAGGTATATTTGCACTATTGTTCGGTGTGATTCTTCTAGTCATCTAGCTTTAAATGCTGAGACGTCAACAGGAATATTCGGATGTAACTTGAACTTAGTCACGACTCAGTGATCAGTCAGTTGTAAACAAATCAATCCTTTCAGAAGGTCTGTCGCATCCCAAATGGGCTAGTTGTAACGTCACATGTTGAAACAATATGATGAGGGTTCAAATCCATCAGGGATCACCAGTTTCTTAAATATTACAGGTACGCTTTGTTGAGGCGTAATATTGGAGATGAGAAGTAAAATAAACAATGGACAACTTTTAACCAGAAAAAAACTAAGGAATAATACTGAGTCACTTGACATAATCAACCTGCTGGCGCCTCAACTACAAAAGCACTATTTTGATCAAGGTCACATGGTGGTGAAAAGTTACAAGAAGTTGAAAAGTCTGTGTAACTAGGTACCTGTATGAGTGCTAGTGGTGGAATGTCAGATGAGATTATTTCAAAATTTAGAGACAGAGGTGGTTTGTACTAATATAAACCATTTTATATACCGTTGTAATGTTAGTCTGGATGTAAAAGATCGAGTTTACAAAGTATCAGTGAAAGCAGTCCTGACCTATACTTATGAAGCTTTACCACTAAAAATTGAGGATGTTAACCAATTATCTGTTAAATCACTATTATATTCAAAGAATTACATACATTCAGTGGCATCACCAGGTTAAAAAAGTGGTTTTAGGACACTGTGACAATAATCCAAATCATATCACCATCTTGAAAAACCGGTTTCAGTGGCTTCATCTGGTGTTACAAATGACTTCTACACTGTACATTGTTTGGCTATGCTGAGAAAGGGGAGTAAAAGCGAACAGGTGGACGTTCCGTGACATAGCACTTGAGTGCAAAAGAAAGCTGTGGGAAACTAGAAGCTATCATCTCATCGTGGTTCCTTAGATTGGAGTTCGAAAGATTTTTTAATTCAGTGGTTTGAGATGTTGTCACATATTGCTCGGGCTAGTAGCCAATGTCATCAATGTTAGACTTCAATAGTAACTTGGAAGCGCTGGACGGCCGTTTCGTCCCAGTGCAGGACTCCACAGCAGTGAGCATCCATGATTCCACACCTAGGACTCGGACTCAGGACCATGAGTATTGAGCACGAACTATTAAAATCTAGGCCACTGAGCCGGCATCTTATGGCGTTATTTTATAAATTCAACTAATCCACGATAATGCACGACTATCCTTGATTGTTTTGTGTGTTTAACTTTGCCTCACACCCGGAAGAAATGAATTTCACTGGTCATAACTCTTCTAAGTGAAGATTCTCTAACTCCCAGTGCAGAGTTTAAATGGTTTGAATTATTTTTTCTAGTTAGTGTTTTTTAGCTAGTTATATTTCTACTGGACGGGTTCGCTAACCTCATATCCAACCCTTTTCCCTTATTCGGGCTTGGAACCAACAGTGGCCCCAGAGAGGCTCCAGGTGGAGTTTGTGTACTACACAGCAGCATTACAGTAGTCATTTTCGAGAAATTAGTTCAGAACTCAGATAAATATTCAAAAAATATATTTTTTGTCTTACTCAGATTGATTTGTGATGTCAGTAAAATTCAACACTCAGAACAATCTCCCAATACTGATTATAATCAAGTAATCATTAGTGACTAATTTCATAAGAGGATTTGTCAAGAGTTTTAGTGACCAATGGAGTCCAACCATGTCAAGATTAAGGTAAATTTTATAGATAACAATAGTACATGATGGAAGATATTCTAGAATTCGTTAAAATTAAGAATGTATACTATTAGATGTTGGATTTGTAATCTAAATGTTTAGTACTTACATTAAGACTCGAGAATTATATGTACAGCGTTTAGTTTGATTATGAATGTATACTACTGATGAAGTGAGAATAAATATAGACCGAAAATTCTAGTTGATACATATTACAAGAGACTAAGAAGTTCCATACTAGAATGAAGCAAATATTCAATACTACCCTAATGATAATTATCTTATTAAGATTGATTTATTATATCATCAAATGACATAGAATACTTGACAGAATTGAACTATATATATATATATATATATATATATATATATATATATATATTGAGGTTGAGGTGGCGGCCTGCTTGAATATCTGGGCTACCTGTTCCTCCGATCTACATATTTCATCAAGTTATCTGTTTTAGTTGCTTGTTTTAGTTCATCATTATGTCCATTGTGCACACAATCTATTCAGGCGCGTTTATGAAAAGTTTACAACCTTTCGCTATACGTGATACAAAAAGGTACAATCATCGACATCATGGTGGCTGGCAATATGCATTGAAACGAACGAACATTAATCAAATGTGGATTACCGAACTCCTAACATCTAACCGGTTATCATTCAAAATTTATCGTCACAATAGATCAAGGTATAAGAAAAGGAAACTTGTTGAAATACTTTATGCTGAGAATTCTATGTTGTACCAAAAATATACTGTTGAATAAAGCTTCTAATAATAAATAAATAAATAAATATATATATATATATATATATATATATATATTGAAATCATGATTCAGTTGAAGCTAGAACACCATTGAAAACCTGGAAGCACTGGAAGGCCGTTTCATCCTAATATGGGACTCCTCAGCAGTGCGCATCCACGATCCCGCACCACGCGGGGCTCGAACCCAGGACCTACTGGCTTCGCGCGCGAGCACTTAACCACTAGACCACTGAGTTGGTATCCAACGGTGTTAATGTCTAACTTCAACCAATATATATATATTAAACTATTCTTTTCATTCAATACACTTACCTAAATTTTCACGTAATATAACAGTAGTACTATTTGCAGAACTTGGTTCAGTACTACGTGAACTAGTTGATGATCTTTTTGATGATGGTGATGATATTATCGCTGTGACTGAAGACAATGATACAGGTATAGATTGTGTAACAGATAAAGGAAGTTCTAATTTACAATAAACATATTGATTACTTTTATTATTATTATTATTATTATCATTATTATTATTATTATTATTGACAGTGTTTTTAATATGATTATCTACAACTGAATAATTATGGATCATTTCAACTGTATCAGAAAAGATTGATTTCATTGTTGATGTAGTTGTTATAGGTGATGTAATAGAAATACATTCAGTTGAATTATGAATAGTATCATATTGAAATAATGGTGATAAATTTATTGGTGATTGAAAATCAATTGATGAATGAACTATAGAAGATGATGTAGATGATGAAGATAATAATAATAATGATGATTTTCGATCAGGTATAATTAATGAATCATTATAACCACTATCACTATGTTGTGGATCAGAACAATTTAATGAACTTCGAAATTGTTGTTGTGACATATTATTATTATTATTATTATTATTATTATTTTGTTTATTATTAGTAGTATTATTATTATCTTTTAAATTATGTAACAAGATATTATTTTCAGGTTTTATGAAATTATTTTTTAGCACAGTAAGTGAATCATTTGAGAATTCTGGAAAATCTATGGAAATGAAATAGGAAAGAATAAATGTATATATGTTATTTTATTATTATAAAAGAAAAGATTTATAGGTAACAGCGAAATTTAGGATATGTATATCGTCTCATATGGCTATATGGCTATGTAGAGCTGAAGGTCTCATATGAGGCTGGAGGTTCGCCACTGTTATTATGGATGGTTCGGCATTGCTTTGGCAAGTTTTGCTGACTTTCCATGCAAAAAATTGGTTTGCTGGTTAACCGATTTCATTCATATTGGTGGTTGTTTTTCAGTGTTCCCAAGGGCCATTGTCATTGGGACATTGTAAAGCATGTCGCCATTGCTAACATTAACGAGTTTGACTGTCATGTAAGCGGAATAGGTCAACTTTGGCCTGTTCATGCTGTGCATAATTGATTCACGCGATCATTGATCGGAATAACTATACATGTGATGTGAATGTGTGTATGAATGGTGTGAATGGTCCACCAGGGTGCTTGGTACCTGTGTGGTTGCGCCACAGGATTGAGCTGCGGTGTCTGGTTCCCCTGCTAAACGGGGTTGAGGTGTACTGTTTGGGTTGTCACATGAAAGTCCGGATGGTGTCTGCTTCTCCTGAAAACCAATGTAAAATTACCCTGGCCCACAAGGGTATAATAAATAACTGTGAATATATACATATAATATCGTCTCATTTAAGAATCATCGACTAGATTTATCTGCTTATTTCAAGATTAATCTACATGTCAAGAATTGAACGCTGTATCTTTTGTTGAACTACTTGGTTCAGATAGCCATAAAGATGTTCAACAGACCTGCTGTTTTTAGTGTATCATTGGTGTTGATTTGAATTATCTCGTTGTCGATATTCTTGATTGAATTTAGATCATCGTTTATTGGAATGCATGAATTAGCTTATGAGAATTGCCTCAATATAGTTATTTTGTTAAATTTAGGATCGTGGATAGATGGATATTAATAAGTAACGAATAAAGAATCGTATGAAGCCTAATTTTCATGATGCCATATAACTCAGTATTCTATCAGAGAAGTCATACAGCGTAAGAACGGCCTAAGTGGTCATTTTGATGTGCTACTTTTGGATACTCGGAAATCGTAATGATCTAGTCATTAACCTAGCTTGTTGGCTTGAACTCAAGTTATTTTTAGATACTACCGTGATAAGTAGCAAGTTTAAGTCCAACAGAAAGGTCATGCGGTCGATTATACAGAGATGTTAAAGGAGTAAGGTGTTTCAGTAAAAGGGACACCATCTGCAGCGATCCTACGTTCTCACAAGTAAAGAGTGTTAGAAAAAATGTCCACCCCCTAAAGGTTGTGCGTATCACGATGCTCTATGGAGTTTCTGTCTTCGTCAGTAAAGCCTTATCACACAATCAAACGCTTACGAAAAAGTCTCAAGCAGGCGTCTATTTGACACTGAATTCTAGTCCCTAGTTCATCAGGATCACAAATAACCCAGTTTCCTCCTCAATTACATCTAAAAAAATCATCCTTCTGAACCGTAGGTAAACGAAAAGTGACAACCCGTCAAACATATCTAACAGCACTATAGATTGATACATTTGAAGTAAGAATATAAATTTGAAATTTGATAACTATTTTACTCTACCCAACTTTCATAGTTACCTATCTATGAAATAGTCATAAGTCTATCATTTGTGATAATATGCTTTAGTGATGAAAAGTAACAAGTGTTATTTTTCTAAAGAAACAAAGAACATTTAAATCTCAATGAGAACAGATTGTTTATATATAAATAATAAGAGGATGAAATAAACTATATCATGCAACAATCTTCATTGTTAAATGTATTATCATCAGTCCAAATTTGTTTAATTCAATATTCATCAGTTGATAAGCTTAGATTTTTATGAGATCATGTATTGTTATTCGGAGAGTCAGCCAATCAGTCAGTCACAACGTAGGACCAGGCACATATGTTCATCAGTTCAAGTTACCATACCTCATGGCAATTATAGGGAAAATTAACAATGATAAATAATAGTAGTATCTGAAATGAAATATTAATCAATTAATTTACCAAGTTTAGTGAATACAGGCAACTTATCAGTTTCAATAGGGATTATTCTTTTTCCTATTATTGGTAATTCATGTTTAGGATATTTTGTAGTTGAATTATTTCTTCTTGGAATTACACTTGATGAAGTTAAAGCCAATGAACGAGAAGAATGAATAAAATCAAATGGAATGTGTTGTGGAGATGGTGGTACAGATGAAGTGGATCTACTTGGTATAGTAATCGGACTTGTTAAACCAGTAATATCAATCGCTGTGATTGGTGAATGATTTAATGGTGTATTATGTATTGATGAAGAGAAAGAAGTGGTTTTCTGTTGTTGTTGTTGTTGCTGCTGTAACTGATGTGTTCGCCTTTCATTCAACGATATTATGCTTGTTAACGGAGACGTTGATGATGTTATTGTATTCACATCAGATAATGAATTTTCAAGCGTATTTGTTCTGATAATAAATTGGTTAACCCAACCAGCAACTGGTGGACCGGGTGGGGGAAATTTAAAACGATTACTGCTATTATTATTATTGTAATCAGGTGAAAATACTCTAGAATTTCTATTCGATGAATAATATCCAGTTGATGGTGTTGTTGATTGATTGTTGCCTAAACTTAAATCTTCACCAAATGATGATTGATTGAACTTTTCATGAAGTATCGGTGTTATTGCGGTTGTAGTTGGTATTATCTGATGACCTGGCATTCTGTAATAATCATGATAGGTATATTGTTGATTTAATGGATTCGATGGAACGAAACCATTGAATACAGCTGTTTGTAAACTATATAAAAAGTAATCATTATCAAATGATTCCATTGCATTAAAATTCTAAAATAAGTGAGAAGAAAAGACAATATTATTACTAATATTACTATCAATACTACTACTACTACTACTACTACTACTAATAATAATAATAATAATAATAATAATAATAATAATAATAATGATAATAATGATAATAATAATAATAATAATATTGGTAACAGCTAGGATAAACAAAAGTGGGATTTTAATAGTTGAGATCATGAGTGGGATTGTTATAGTTTACTATTACTGATCAAATTCACCTCATAGAATTAAGGCTAAGATTTCTATCTTGGGTCTACTATTCCGTTTATAGACTAGCGTCTAAGTCATAATGAATTACACTTTTCAGCAGTGCATTTAATCTTGAGTTTATGCAAGGTGAGTTCCTGTTGATTCGCTATACGTAAGCTGTTCTCTATCTTTTCTTTTGTGTTCAGAGAGTACTTAGCAACAAGTTTATATTATATTGTATTAAAAAGACATGTGCGTTTATATGCAAACATATTAGACCTTAATCACACTATAAAATAGAAAATTAGTTATCCACTAAGAAGTCAAAAGGGGCTGTGAATAGGACAAGCTGGGAATAAGTGTTTACCAATAAAATAGAAATAATAGTATCATAGTAGTTAATGAAATAAGCAAAAGATTATGGTAAATGGAATATACAGTCATAGTAATTTAATTACTTAATAATTATAAAACCCAGTTCCAGTGGTCCTATTTTTTTTTACAGAATTCTCGTTATAACAGTGATAATATCATTACCAGTATGCATATGAACTATCTGGTCAATGAAACCTCTTAACTAAATACAGATTGGTGTTTGTTAATATATGCATATTCTGTAATGGCTGATTTGATATAACCATCTTACAACAAGTTATCTATAGGAGGTGAATTCTGGCTAACTGTGTAATTTAGGATACACTTTTCGATCTATTTGAGACTCTTTGGTGGGAAGTACCTCATTTATGGTATTTCCGTACTAATAAATATACAAATATCATACCCACGAAACAAGTTAGTGGAATTCTGGATTCTGTATCTTAGTCGAAAGCGTTTCTATAATCAAATAGAAAGACACAGGATTCAGGTTCCTATATGAATATCAACTGTAGGATGCAGACCTATCCAGTTGACGAGCTTGGAATAGGATGAAAACTATGTCATAGCCACAACCTACGTATTCTCATTGATGCTATTAGTACTGATACAATGAGAAATAATTTTAACGAAAACTTATCAAGTCTATAAAAGTAATTTAAAGTTGACTATGAATTGTAGATTCGATTTTGTAACATCATACTGTTATATACGAATGGATAGTTGAAGAAAGGAAAACTATTTAACAGGGTATTATCCTATGTAATTTTCATTGTATAATCATTAAATCCCTTGAGGACCATCGTTTTTCTTTATATTCGCTTATTATAAAGCTTTCACTTGACTTATATGTTATATGTTTTACTGTTTCAGATTTATCAGTCATTGATTGATTTTTGCATTACTACGTTTTTCTTTTATCATTTATGAACTATTTGTGGTTACATTAGAATTTCTGATAAGCTCAGTCAAGTATATGTAATATGTACAAACCTACAAGTTGTTGGTTTAAAAATTCTGGATTATAATACAGTGGGTATTTGTTTTCTAACTTGACTGTTTGATTGGACATTGGATTGGAAAAAAAGCTCGTTAACCAATAAGCAAAAAGATCCTAAAGTTGTTTTTTTTAAGTAATTCAGTTATTGGGAATTTCTTATTTGAAATGACTATATCAACAGTTAAGAACCAGAATGACAGAAAGAGGAAGTTTCTAATATTTCAGGGTAAAATTCAAGATTTCATGAAGTATCTGATCATCATGCCTTACTTATTTCACTGAAACGTAATAAATGAAGCAATTAACCAAATAAACGACAATTAACAGTGATAAACAGTTCTATTCTTTCTTTCTCATTTAGTGGACACAGAACATCAAATTGGTATGAATCGACCATTTAAAGTTATCCACTGTATTGTATCGAATCTATCATATAGTTTATGGGTTTATCTTTTGCACAATGTCCAATCCATCGCCATCCACATTCAGAAGCCTTATCTTTGTACTTTGATCTACATAATCTGTCTTCTATAGTCATCGTTATGGATACTCTCTCTCTTTCTGGGGTTTTCAAAAAAAATCTCATTCAGTTTCATGTTCATGAATGATTTTAATGTTTGCGTCTCCATTCTATTATTATTATTATTATTATTATTATTATTATTATTATTATTATTATTATTATTATTATTATTATTATTAATTCTTCAAATAAACATTCAGTGTTATTATCAATACTGAATTTCTTACCAGATAGTTTTTCATATTCATTATTAATTTTATAAATACATATGTAAATCCTCTGTTAAGTAACTGTTAGCTAAATTGAACACCTAACCGTCATAATTTAAATCACAAACTGATCTTAGCTAAATCTGGAAGTATTGGACAAAAAATTGATTGGAATAGGATATTCACTTCAGCAGATCCCGGTTTCAAGATCTAGAAATTAAAAGTTTTAGTGAGAGATCAAAGGTCCTAGGTTTGGTTCACAGATGAGGGTTTGTGGATGTATGCTATTGAAGAGTTCTACACTAAAACAAAACGGCTGTTCAGGGCCTCCAGATCTTTCACTGGTGGTCTGAATAATATGAGTTTATGAAGTAACCTCTGAAAATTCTGTTACTTCCTTAAATCGTCTTATGCTAATAAAAACCTAACTATTAGATACGAGTGAATAAGTTGAAAGAGTGAAAGTTTGAAAGTTATTATTTCGCTGATAGTATTTTTGTACTGTCCTAATTGTAGGCTTTCATTTAACGAATTGACTGTTATCATATGTTTCATCGTTCATAAATTACCGTTAATTAATTGTGTACTTGTTACTCAGTTTTGTATCATAAATAACCTAGTTATGTACAGATTGTTATATTCTACTTATTGTGCTGTGTGATCGCGTATTTGGTTTACGATATAATGTTTCAATAATGTAATAAGAAGACGAAGATTATCACAACTATGTGATATATTAGCGTAATACATTTCGAACAATCTGATCACACATATACTTGTTAAGAACATTTATATATAAAAATAAAAGGTGAACTAGACTGGAACTGGGGTAAGAGGAGATAAGGATAATAATAATAAGAAGAATGAACATAATTTGAAACTTAATCACTCTGAATAATAAGTCAATATTACCAGGGTAGGTTTAAGGTGAGATCACATTGTTCGAAATGTATTGCGCTAATATATCACATAGTTCTGATAATCTTCGTCTGCTTATTAAATTATCGAAATTTATCAAATGGACAAAATGGCTTTGGATATCATGTTTATTTTTTGGGTCAAAAATACAATAAAAAAATCAATTTATTTTCATTATTTTTTGATTTAGTGGCTTGATAACAGGAAATAACTGTATGGGTCAGTTAGAGTCAGGATGTTTGGTGGGCATAATATATCAAGTGAAATTCATTAGTGTTATTAGCAAAGGCGGAAGTCATACCACTGACAACAGTTCAAATTAGTATCATACAACATATGGAGAACTCGTATTGTTTGGAATTTGATCACAATCGCCGAGAGTTTCTGACTTATTTCCTCAAATATTATTAAGCTAAAATGTTCACACCCAAATATACTAAAACGTGCAGGATAAATAAGACAGTTGATTGTCTGTAATATTTATCCATAAGAAAACGTTCATCACACTGTAAAATTCAATATTATTCGAATAATAGGTTAGTAATAAGAGACTAAATAATTCCTTAGTGATAAAGTAGCTTATTGTTGAAAAATGAAGAAATCGGTTATACATAATTAACAAGTTAGTTCGCTCATTACCGAAAACTGACTGAATTAGGACAAAAAAACTATTAAGGACCGGGTTAATAATTCGAAACCTATAGACTAGATACGAGAACTCATCGTTCTAGGTTCGATCCCTTGAGGTGCGTTCGCTGATGGGCATTATCGATGGACTAAAAATCAACTGAAAATCCTAGTTGGTGCAAACATAAAGAGATTGAAACGATTTATATGCACGTATTCATTATGTTGTCGGGCAAAAAGTAATCACTACCATTATTATTATTGGTATTGCCAGCCAAGTGATATGAAGTGATCTACACGCTTTTCAATGTTATATAAGTGTGTCATATTTAACATTTTTGGCAACTTTTTACTCCAAGGATGAGTGCTGCATGTTTGAGCGTAGTTTTACTTGACGATCAAATTTCCAACCCTGTCTTTATCAGCCGAGATATGGGGATTTAGATGTGGTTAACTTCAAATGTTTGAAATAAACGAAAAATGCACGGAAATGTTGGTTACTGTGTATTTATGGATAACCTCAAAAACTGAATATAGTAAGTTTTACAATGATTTTCCCGTTAAAAATAATGTGATCATTTGAATCAACATACTTATTATATAATCATGTTTTATGTTGTGCAACTTTCAGTGAAAGCGAAAACGTACACTAACACACATACTCAGAGGCACACAAAAACAAATGTATGTAAAATCAGTAGGTTTATCATTCAAAATGAATAGCCTTTATCTTTACATACCTTTGGCTCGTTTTAAACGTAAATAAGCCAGGTAGTTGTATAATTTCATGAAACATAATATTTGTTTATTCTGAAGAATGTGTCAACTTATTAGCAGTAAATCACAAGGTCTACAAATTTTGTGGTACGATCAATGAGACTATAATTTATGGACGACCTTTGAGCGACGCTTAAGAAACCTTGAGAATGTCCGCCTACATATTACGGCTAAGTGAAGGTTATAAACCAGTTTGAGGAATTACGATTAATATTTACAGTTGACAGTTAGGGTTGGGAACCCGATATAGAGTTCTCATCACGAACGGACATCAGCTATAATGACAAAACCCTATTTCGTCAAATGAGTACATTAATTTCGCGTCAAAATTCAAGACCTGTTATCGTAAATCTGATTGGTTCGTCCATAAATTATAGTCTCACCGAAAACATTAACGTTTTTCTGTTTAACAATTCTGAATTCAGAAAGGGTTTTGCGGAGATTTTAGGAATTTCAATAGTTTAAATCATGAGTCGATTGAAGCTAGACTACCATGGATAACCTGGAAGCACTGGACAGCCGTTTCGTCCTAGTACGGGACTCCCCAGCAGTGCGCACCCGCAATCCCGCACCTCACGAGATTCGAACCCAGGGCCTATCAGTCTCGCTCCAGGCGCTTAACTAACTAGACCACTGAGCAAGCATCCAACGGTGGTAATGTCTAACTTCATGCAATTCACGAAGTTGCACCACTGTACACCATTGTCTTCAGTGAGTTGATATCTCACAACAGAACAAGGTTGAACTCAACTGGTAACGGCTTCTCACTAGAACTCCAGGAGTATCTCTTGAAGTCAGGATTGTTAAACAGAAAAACGTTATAATTTTCTATTCACAATGATTTCCATACGTTTATTTATCAATATAATGTAGTGAATAGAGATAATTACTTACTTACTTAAAAATACTGTCGTTTGTAGTAGTATTTTTACAATTGATTGACCACTGACTAGTGAATAGTGTCATGTTTAACTTTTTCTTTGGTGTTGGCCGAGATCGATCACTGAAATTACATTCTGACCACTAATTTAAGTATACTATGTTAATATGTTATGCGGTTGGAATTCATTTAACAGAAATCTTACTTCATCTGAATGTCATGATATTTGTTAGATGTCAGTTAGTTGTACTTGTATTAATGAGCAAAATGATGCTTATTGGCAGATTTAAACTCTCATTATCAAGACTTATAGTCCAACAAATTACCACTAAGTTATTTAAACCGTCTATGACCTACTGTATGACTATGATATTTATACCGAAAGGTTATATATTGATAAAAAGTGGAATTTAAAGAATTTTATAATGATTTATGTATTAAGCTAATAATATTGTAACTATTGTTTAAGAAGAAGAATGTTAAAATCTTATGATGTTGTTGATAATTATTTCTACATTAAGATTTGGTTAAGTTACAGTTTTAAAAAAATATGTGTTTAACTTTAAGATAAATAGTATCAAGTCACTCAGACCAGTGGTCGCAATAAAATTTGATCGATAGAATTTGATCAGCAACTAAGCGGCGTTTGAAGCAAACGGTAAATATTGAATCTGAGATTCAAGTACATCCAGATGATGAGTCACGATTAGAGCGCAATGCGCATCCTGATTTCTATATTCCATTTAATATAATGGCTATATCGAGATAATTTGCAGAGGATCCTCATATGCCAACGGAGTCTGACCAAATTTCAGTCAAAAATATCAGCGACGGGATAATCGAATTATATACTCAGTGATTAGTTAACTTATGCATTCCACTTCTACAAGAGATAAGTCACATATTCCAGTGACAATGCCTCTGGGAAACCTTGTAGGAATACTGTGGAGGTTATCGGCCCTCTCAAGAGTGAAGTTATGCCTTGTGGACGTATGTCAACTAGCATAAAACCGTAATTTTAAGTTACTTGTTGATTACCTTCAACCATCTAATTTCAAGATTAATGGTTTGACTTATACGATGAGTTGGCATCTTATTGTAGCTAAAATCCTATAAGTCGGACTGATCTAGAAGAAACAGTTCATGAGTATAATTTTTTATTTGAAACTTTGTCATCTTGAACTTAGATCATTTTGAAACCAAGTAGAATTTCTAGAACTTATGATAGAATTGTCGGAATACTTGTACAAGTGGGTGAGAATATTGAAATAAAATTCAACCAAGTAGCCATGGTAGATGCTAACGGCTTCAAAAAACTATAGGACATCACGTGAATCAGTTCGCTGATAAATAATGTTGTTTATTTTCTACCGACGATTATTCGAAAAATGGGATTTCATGCCAAAACAATTGTATTTTCTAAAATTCAAGTCACTAACAAGTCGTAGTTAGACCATTACTGAGAATCCGGAATCACTGGAAAGCCTTGTCATCACAGTAAAGAACTCCTTAGCAGTGCACATCTATGACTTGACACCCGGAAATCGAACCTGAAACTTTCGGCCTCAGATTTTAACCCCAAATCTTTGGGCCACTGAACCGGCGTCAAATGAGTATGTGACAGTTATCCACCTCTGAAAATAAGTAAGGGTTACGCAGCAGTGTGAATTGATTAGAGTCAAACTCATACACCATTATACAGTGACACAGTGGTCTAATGAATAAGCGCTTAGGTGCGAGATCAAAAGTCATAGATTTCAATTCCGGGTGAAGGTTCGTGGACATGCATTGCTAAGAAGTCCCTCACTGAGACGAAATGGAAACCTAGTGCTTTCAGGATTTCAATGGTGGTCTGACTAAGAATTATTAGCGATTTAAACTATGCGATTTCTACAATTTTTACAAATCCTCCAATACTATGGGTTTGTTGTATTTATTGAATAGTGAGCATTAGTCTAGAAAAATTCTATTTCTCACATAATTAGTAACATTTGATGTAAAAGCTTTTACTTTTAGTAAAATAATCAACTCGTAAACTTAATGACAAAAGAAAATTAGCAAGATTATTCTTTCGAAAAGAATTGGAGTGTAAATTTTCAGCCAAATTAATTATTATTACAGTAGGTGGTTGGAGGTAGTCACTAGTAAACCATCAATCAAGGTTTTAATGATATTCGCAATTTGTCACAACAGAGTACATCTGAAATCTTGAGAGAACTTCTAGTCTTTTGATGGATTCGAATCCAAGTCACATAGATTTATCGTTTGTTACGTCATCATTGAGTTACTCATCTTGAAATGAACAGGTTAACACGAAAAAAATTAGGTAAACATGAAATTATTCACTACTTAATGATCAATCAGTTTTAATAATTAATACTTGTTGATTATTCCATGGTTGTTTGTAATTTGTTGTATTTAAATAAGAAAACTTAAACATTTTTATTGTTGCATTGTGTAGTTAATATAGATCTGTTTTTTCTTAAAAAGAAAAAAAGATCTGTTAATCTTCATGGAATTAAAGAAATTGAAAAAAAAGAGCAATATTAGTGGAAGTTAGTGTTTGATCCTAAGTGTTTCAACAGTGTCAATAAGGTATCTCATCTATTAATTAAAAGTTTACATATTCGGGGTTAAGTCAAGCGTTTTATTTATATTCTCTGGTTATACTAATAGGCTGTTTAAACGGAGCTAGGTTGTGAAATCATGGGACATTTAATCCGGTTGTCGAAAACTAAGTTGTTTTTTTTAACTAGCCAATAACAGACTGATCAATTGCAGTCTTAAACCTCAATGGGAAGATACAAGCCAAACAATACCAAGTGAATTTAAATTCACCCCATTCCAAGAGCAAGTGGCTAGCAGGACTCAGTAGTTGAGTGGATTAATGTATTTAATCTATGGTTTTCGTATTATATATATGTGTAATTAAATGACAACAGAATGGCTATGTTGTTTATTGAATGACTAATTAAAGAGTTTTAGGAAAACCGAAGTTTATTAAGTGGCTAATGATCATCGTCTATTGCTTCTGACTATTTTAACCCATGTACTAATAAACTTAATATTTAGCGAAGTACAATCACGTCATATATTTAATGTCTATACGTAAAGGTAATCTTCATCTTTAGCAAGAAATATATAGGTTGATACAAACGATTTAAGTAAATGAACAGGAAAACAGGGGAATCAAAATCTATCTAATTATCCTAATTTCAATAGCATACGTACTGGTCTAATCTACGGTAATCACCGGCAGCTAAGAATTAATGAACAGTTGTTTTGCCTCCGTATAGGAACTAAGTAGTGCGCAATCAAGACACCAGAGTGGATCAGGCATACGATATTAAGGTCTTAAGGCAATCCATTAACCATTTATAGCAATGGGTTGGTATTTAATGTTCTGTATGTCTAACTTCAATCAATTTCCGATATTCTGCCTTATGCCTAAAATGTTTGAATTTCACTAATTAAGCATTCTTACAAGAGAGCTCCAGGAGTTACCTCGAGAAACATTTTTTTTAGAATGTTTATAGTTTACATTATGTATTAATAACATGGTTTAAAACAATCATTGACAGTATAACAGAAAATATACTACTTACAAAATTATCAGATATCATATTTTGATTATGATTATTTTCTGATTCATAAGCTTCTGTAATTGGTAAAGGATTTAATTGACCAGATTTATTATTATAATTATCATTAGGACTAGTAGTATTTTCTTTTAATTTACTTAATTTTTTTGTTGTTAATTGTGAAAAACGTCGTTTATTCTTTAAACCAAATGCACTTAAATGAGTAATGAATGCAATTGATTTCATTCTTGAATTATGATGTTGTGATGATAGATTTTCACTAGATGAGGATCTATATTTACTTAGGGTAGACTGTAATGGATGAACATAAACTGGATAACAAGTTGGTTCATTTATTGTTGGTAATGTTGTTGATGTCTCTGTTAACATTATATCGGTTGTAGGTTTATTATAAGACTGAAAATTGGAAGATGTTGCATCGAATAATGTTGGACCATTGAAATGATTTGTATTAAAATAATGCTGATCAGTCCAATCTGTCAAATGAATTAGAAAAAAGAAAGAGCAAACAACTTAGAAACAACTAATAAGGGTTACAAAAATATACATAAAAAGAACAAGAAAAAATTATAAAATTGTTTTCTCCTACTGTGAATTGTCGGATTAATGAGTAAAGAATAACAATTTCATCAGAAATCGGAACCTAAGGAGTTGTCTAGCTAATCTGTGGGAAGAAAGCTATCTTTGAAATGTATGGGGTACATGGGGTAACAGGAGTAAAGAAGAAAGAAAGGTTCATATTACTACATTGTTTTATAACAGAGGAAAGAAATGATCAAAACGAATTCCATAGTAGTAGACATGTTGAAGGTATGAGTGGTAGTTGAAAAAGAATATGAATAGATGAATTTGAATCATCCCATTCAATCGTCAAGACAAGCGAATAGATCTCAACCAATTGATTTGCACCTAACAACAAAACCCGATTCATGAACTGATATCACTTCTTGGTTTGACCACTTCTAACTTTTATTTTTCTAACTTAAGTCTCCATAAAAAAAACATTGATCGTCAAGGATATATAATAGTCATCCTAATCATCTCAGTTCATGAAGATTTCCTATCTCGTCGACCTATTTTCACCTTCTACGGTAATAAATTAACCTAATCAAATTTTAATAACTAGTTAGATTTACTATTAAGTTCAATTGGTATTGTTTACTTGAATCTTCCCATTGATGTTTAGCACTGCAATTAATCAGTCACTTATTGGCATGTGTGCATCCTGTGCCTGTTGCCTCAATATTGCCTTAATTCATTATAAGCAGAGGTGGGTATGCCAATAAGAGACTGATTAATTGTAGTGTTAAACATCAATGAGAAAATTCAAACAAACAATACTAAGTGACTTCTTTAACTTCACCAATTTCACAAGCAGGACTCAGTAGCTAAGTGAATAACGCCATGGCGTTTAAACCGAACGGTACTGGGTTTGAGTATCAGAGTGAACATCAACTCTGCGATACAGGTACATCCAGCTGACGAGTTCCAAATAGGATGAAACGCATGTTAAACATGATTTCACTGGTAGACATTATCCATCATTTCTTATATCCACAATTGTTTACTTATCATTTAGATGATAAATTATCATTTTAAACAATATTAAATTTATAATTTACTAACAATCTTATAGAAAATTATATTTTCATGTAGATATCAGTTGTATCCAATTCAGAACATACGCAAACACAAACATTGGTACAAGGAGGAACCAAATACATATGCGCTACATAAATCATTCGATTTGTGTGAGGGCTGTGATATTGCCCGGGTGCCCAGACTGAAGCAGATTCAGAACATACATTACAATAGATTATGAATTAAAAGCAATCTGTATACTCGAAACCATGTATATATAACTTGAGAATGTTTTTAGTCACAGGGTTGATAAAAATCAATTATATATATCGTAATAAACTATTTCAACTGATCTGTTTAAGAATTTCCGTTTTACAAACATAATCTATTTCATTGAGATAATGAACCAATTGATGTTAGACCATCACAATTGAAAACCTGGAAGCACTGGACGGCCGTTTTGTCCTATTGTGGGACTCCTCAGCAGTGCGCATCCACGAGCCCGTGAGCAGGATTCGAACCCAGGGCCTTCGGTCTCGCACGCGAACGCTTAACCAACTGGACCACTGAGCCAGCATCCAACGGTGATAATGTCTAACATCAACCAATCCACGAAATTGCGCGACCAACTTCCATTGTATTGAGGTAGATACCTGACAAGGATTAGCTCCACTGGTCACGGCCGTCCAGTGCTTCCAGGTTTTCAATTGTGATGTTCTAACACCAATTGGTTCATTATCTCAATCAAAAACTTAATCTCCGCAACCCCTATACTAATAATCTTTTTAATTGATTCATGAAGAAAAAATTCGATAATCTTTGGATATAATTTATGATAACAAACAGATATATATATATATGTCTATATATATTTGAAGACCTGAACGTCTTATTTAGTCTTTAGTCAAAATGATTTGATAATAACCATGTAAATACATTAGAACAAATGTAACATATATGTGTAAGGGTGTATTATAATTGACAACTATCAATAGTTTTACCTTATAAATAGTGTTTTTATTTTATTTTAAGAAATAAAATGGATTATTATCATTTATATAATAATAATAATAAAACAATAGAAAATCGATATTTTAATCAATATTAGGAGACTGTATAGTAACTATTATATTAATTAATTAATTCAATGGAAAGTTTAAAAAAGTTTTTCTTTACTGAAATAGAATAATGACTAGTAATGGAAAAATTAAGTTTTGTCCTATTGGATACTTGTAAGCAATTTATTAGTATTAACTTAGATACAATGATTCGAAAGCAATATGTTTCGTTTCAAGCTACAGAGAACCAGATTGATTATGTATGTATCATTAAAAATTCCAAAGGACAATGGAAGATATGAGGATCAGAAGGGGAACTGATACAGCTTCAGATTACCATCTGTTTGTGATTGACAAAATGAAACTGAAGCTAAAAAAGCATCAAACAACTAGGAAAACAGCAATACAAACGTTCAATACAGGCTTCTTTAGAGATACTCAAAAAGTCAACGAATTCGAGATAACTTACAACAACAGGTTCTAAGCTCTATAAGATTTACGCGAAGAAAGGGAAACTACTATGAATTAAAATTGGAGGTTCTGGGCAGCAACAGGTATCGTCATAAGGAATGAATCTGTTTGAAAACCCCGGACAAGATTCAAGAAAGGAAGAACAAGAAGACAGCAATTAAAAATAGCAGATCGAGAATAGAAAAAGTCAAGACACTCAACCGCAACCAAAGGAGTTCATCCGGGACTGCTGTGAGATAGGAACTCACTGATAGCAATGGTGGACGGTGAGGTAACTCCGTGGATTGCTTGAATTTAGACATTAACACCGGTGGATGCCGACTCAGTGGTCTAATGGTTAAGCGCTTGCGTGTGAGACTGATGGGTCCTGGGTTCTAATCTCGCGGGGTGCGGGATCGTGCATGCGCACTGCAGAGGAGTCCCATACTAGGACGAAACGGCCATCCAGTGCTCCTACGTTTTCTATGGTGGTCTAGCTTCAATTGATTTATGAATTCAACTATCAAACTAGTATAATATACACAAAAACACCCTACTCTGATTATAATTAGATTTAGATTGATTCAGTTGCAACAATGGTTGCTAAACAACCATTAGAAATTAGGGTATGTTAAATGCAAATATCACAACTTAGGTTGCTTATTATCAAAATTGTACAATATCAAACTCATACAAAAAGGAAACCGGGTATTTCAAGCAGTGTCACAAATATGTTACCAATTTAATTCCTCCCCTCAATTGAGTTTTATTCTCATGGTTTAAAATTTCAGATTAATAGGATAACTTCAGGTTATATAGTTTTTTTGTTAGTTAATAATTGTCCTTACATGCACGAATAATGGTCATGACATTTGTTTCAATCTATATATGTTTTTTTATAATGCTTTTTGCTGTTAATTGATCGATTGTTTCTAACTTTAATTTGCTAATTTGTTGTTATTCCATTACAAATTTAAATCTCCTGAATATAATCTGACTTTACTCTAGCTTTCACGGGGTTTGTATGTTGTATGTTGTCAGATCTATTGAGTTCGTTGTTAAGAAGACTCTCAGGTGTGATGAAGCCTCCATAGGATTTAATGCAGTGGTAGAGAAAAAATCTAACCACAATCCGATAGAATTTTCTAGAATATCAATGTGCCATGGTGTGACTGAATAAATGTATTAAATTTTCTACTTACGGATTGGCTGAATTATAATTGACCAAAAACATTAAATTGACTCGTATTTCTGTACATTTTCGGAACTTACTTTAGTAATGCTTTTCCTGTTTACTTTTATCTTTTCGATTTGCGACTTGGGGGTTCTATGCATTCAAGTGTTGAATTTGTAAGCCATATTGGCTATAACCAAGTTACGGACTTAATATTTGCATGGATTAATTTACTTATGACAAGAAGGGCTAAATAGGCATAATATTAGTCATTACCCTATGATCAATCGATTTGCATTTGACCTCTGCTTAACCTAATGGATATTGATTACTGAAAATCTAGAGAAATATATTTACTATTTCCCAATTTTTACTGATTCATAGGTTGATGATGATTGGATCTTATTTACTTACTTAGGCCTGTTTACCCTTAGTGGATGAACATAAACGTCCCACAAGCATTTTCCATCCAACTCTGTCCTGGGAAATGCTTTTCAGTTCTTTTCAGTTGCAATTCATCCTTTATTATTATCACTATTCTTATTATTGTCATTATTATTATTATTATTATTATTATTATTATTATTATTATTAATGGCTTTATTTAATATTCTATTTTTGGTACAATCTAGAATTCTCAGCACAAGTATTTTAACAAGTTTCCTTTCCCTATTTCTTGATCGATCCTGATAATAAATATGGTGTGATCGACAGTTAGAAGTTAGCAGTTCAGGAATCGACATCTGAATCTTGTTTATTCTTTTCAATGCATATTGCCAGCAACCACGATATCTCTGATTGGGGTCTTTTCTGATTTGTACAGGGGAATGTAATAAACGTTTCATAAGACTAATAGACATGATCATATGTTAAAACAAACAGGAAAACAGATAACTTGTTGAAATTTACAGATATTAGGAACAGGTAGTCTAGTCTTTTATTTGCTTCTACGATATTTTGTCTGGATCAAAGATTGTATGAAATATAAATATTCCAAAAAACCATTCTCGTATTTGACTTATTTGATTCCGTTATTTAGTAATGCAATTGAAGTCGATGATTATATACGAGGATAGATGACTTATATATATTTCAATAACAATCATGAGTTAATTGAAGCTAGACCAGCATGAAAAACCTGAAAGCACTGAACAACCATTTCATGGATTCGTTGAAGTTAGACATTAACACTGTTCTATGCCACTTTAGTGAT